TTTAACTAGTTCACAATACATATTCTCACCTGATATCCAAACTAACCAAAATTATTTCCAAATAATGTAAAATGAAAAAAAAAAAAACATATATTTTTGACAACCCAAATCATAATCAATAAAAACTACAGCAGGAAATCACATCCAAAGTTTTAGAAGCTTTAACATAAAAATCTCATTTTCCAAACATTTAACGTTTGTCTGCCACTACTGAATGAATAGGCAGTCGCCTTTTGCCTGTTAGTTTGCTATTATCTACTTGAATTACCTCTTCCTCTCTTCTATCTCAGTAAATATCATATTTTCATTCAAATAATTTTTTCATTGTTCTTTCTTTTATTTGTTGTTTATGAACATATTATATATTTGTGAGTTGTGGTTTTGATAGAAAAATGGTTGTGTCTAAACAATTAATGAGCTTATTTGTGGTTTGAAAAGAATGAGTGACAAAACATATTGATTGTGTAAAAATGTTAAAGTTTTCTAACTAGTACTTCTGCTTTCGTATAGTAGTTAAAGAAGGAAAGTTCGTCAATTTTCAATGAGCATAAACTCTATCAATCTTTGTACATCTAAATATATCATGTTAAATTATTATTTAACATCTCCCTAACAAGACAAAAAAGTTTTAACCAAACTATAATAGTGGAATGTCGTTCGACCTTTACCAACAACAATGTGACAATACGAAATCGAAACAACAAAAGGAAAATAAAAATGAAGAAAGGTGTATTTGTTCTATTAACGTTTTTTAGCAACAAACTTTGAAAATATTTTATTTATGGATTTCATAGTAAATATTAATGTAATTTAACATTTAATATTATTAGTCCTTAAACTTATATGTTAACTTATTTTAAATATATTATTATGATGTCAATAGGTAAATTGCGAATTAAAACTGAATCAAACCGGTTCAAAAAATAAAATGATTTAATTTGATTTAGAAAATTTCAAATCGTATGAAATCATTTGAGTTAAAAATATAACACAAACAGCCTAAACCGAATTGCATTCACTCTTTGTGTTGTGACCAATTTATTTAGGTAATTGTAATTGATAAATATCACGTGATCGATAAAAATAGATAATTTGCGACCAATACATAATTGACCTACAAATGTAAAATTATGACTAAACCCTTGCTTGAGCACCCACTTTTAATCAAAATACAATCTTCAACGGTAATTTGATCTTATTCTAATCACATATTTTTTAATAAAATAATATTACACGTAAATTTAAAACTTTTCTTTATTTTTAATCACATATTCTCCGTCATAACACCTTTTAAATGCATTTTTTGAAAAAAAAAAAATGAAGTTCAAACAACCCCTAAATTTGTAATCATAACTCTCAAGTTGTTAAATTGTGATCAATCAATTTGATAATTTGTGAACAATAAATAAGTAACTCCTAAAATTTATGATTTGTGATCGAGAAAAAAAATGTGTGATCTATTAATTTTATAATTTATGATCAAAGGTGGATGTAGGGGGACTGGGTTGGGGTGTAGTATCCCCCAAGGCCCAAGAATTTTATTTTTTTTGTAAAAATAGTTTTTTATGTGTAATTTTTTTTTTTTTGCATATTAAACCAGCTTTAAATTTTGTAGCCCGATCTTGGGTCTAATCATGGATCCGCCCCTATTTACGATCGATAAATAAGTTACAATCTATAAAATTTATTAATTGTGTTGACATTCTGTGATTGTGATTAATATGTAAATGTGACCATAAATTATATAATATTGTGACTTTAAAATTTTAATTAATAAAATATATTTTTTAGTTATTTATTTGACTAATAAATTTTAATTATGATTTAATTTTTAAAATTTTAAAACAAATTTCTTAATTTTGAAATTGTATCTTTCAAACACCTTAGATATGTATTGTTCCAATTTTTTTAACCTTTTTTTTTTATTTGTTTTGACTTTTTTCAAAGCACAAATTTCAAGACATTTTACTACTATGACCCTATTTGAGCCACATTCTTTAAAAAAAATACATTTTTAAACAGTAATTTAATATTATTCAACCAAACATTTTTCGATAAAATAATATTATGCTCAAATTCAAACTTTTCCCTATTTTTAACTACATATTTTTATCAATACATTATTTAAAAATGTATTTTTATGAAAATAATGTAACTCAAATTAACAATGGCTATATAAAAACTCTACGCTAAAATTATAAAATATAAATTGCAAATGACGCAAATCAACCAAAATGACGTAAGCATGTCTAATTCTTACATCTTTATTTCTTGTTTATAAAATAAATTTATCGCTGTAGTTCTTTAACAGATTTATTCCACGTCAATTTTTTTCTCGAAATCTTTTGTCGTAAAATCTTATGTCATATAAAAATTTTGCTGGCTACGGTTGCTCGCCCTGAACTCGAACCCCAATATCATTTAACAAAGTACTTTTGAACAAAATAATCACATTTAACACAGTAAAGTTCACACACTAGCCAGTCTATTTAATTTATTAAGAAAAATAAATTTGTAAAGTGGTGTTGATTCAAATATTAACTTGTATAAAGGTATTGTTTATCGTGAAAATTTTGGATTATTCACTTAACCCTACTGGAATCATGGAATTACTGATCATTATTATGGATACATAAAATAATGAAATATTATAATTACATGGAGAATAGAGTGAATTAATTAAATGATCATTGAACTTTGCAAAAATTTTCACGGGGTCATTGAACTTTAAAAATCATCAAATTTATCACCGAACTTTGCAAAAGGTTTCCAAATTCAGTGGCTCCTGGGAAACCTTTTACAAAATTCAGTGATTAATTAGGTGATTTTTAAAGTTCATTGATCCCGTGGAAACCTTTTGAAAAGTTTGGTGATAAATTTGATGATTTTTAAAGTTCGATGACTTGGTGGAAATCTTTTCCAAAGTTCAGTCACCATTTGGATAATTCACTCTGGAGAACACGATATTTCGTTTCTAGTATGATGGAGGAGAGAACTCCGGTAGAAAGTTGTTATCTAGCGATCGCGAATTCTAACATTGTAAATGGTGTATTTCTTTAAAAAGAGTCGTCACATCTTTGTTTCTTACTCTCCTTGTAAATTGAAATTCTCCAACTGGATAAAGATCACATCAAATTTATAACAAAATCTTGTATATTACAATTTTGTATGATATTAAAGATTTGCTCGCCATTATTTTCCTAAAAAAAATAAAAATTGCAAACCTAAAAACTTCACATGTTTCCATTGATAAATTAACATACACGATGTTGATATTTGTACGGCTAATTATAATGAATGGACTATACCATTCTTCCCATTGGGTGACACGTTAATCATTTAAATTATAATAAATATTTTGTTATATAAAATATAATAATCAAAACAAAATGGATAAGGCTAATTGAACCTTCTCAATAATGTCACATTCAAATTTTTGAAACTAGTCTAAATTTTCAAATAGGATAATGGCGACAAGGAACATCATGTCTTTATATTATACCAATTATTCTGCATGTTGGCAATCTTCAATAGTTGTTTGGATATATGTATATTTACGTGCATGGTAGGTCACCAAATTTTGAGAAAATGTTGTATGTTGATTACTAATCTTCAGTTTGGTGTAATTAGATCACTTAATTTTGATTTATCTACAAATCTAGTTATTGTCATCAAATTAATGAATTCAAATCTCTCGACTTCGATGTGTTTTGCAAATTTGGTAATTTGGTGTGTTGTCCCAACAGTTTAAATAACGAAATACATTGATTTGGACGCTAAAACTAACGTACTTGTTGTCACACAACAATACACTACCCATCTTAAGAAAATACTTTTTTGAAGAAATATATGGACTATAAATCACATTTTTACACGTAAACTAGTTATTTGTTTTAACATCGATATCAACATATTACATTATTTAAACTTGCGATAGTAGACATAGTGACCAGATTTGCCTGCAAGTTGAAGTTGATGACCTAATTGCACCAAATTGAAGATGAGTGATCTCGATGTAACTGGCTCAAAGTTAGGTGACTTGCAGTATATTTAACGCTAGATTTTTATGTTGTGGGTGCAGGGATAGGAGGTGAGATGCTGGCTATTTTTGTCCTATGGAAGTTCCAAAAGGCACATTAAAAGAATTCCCATGATTGTGTGAATTCAATATTTAGAGCATGAATATATACACTTATTGAGAGAGAGACATTATATCAACTCCTAGAGAGAGAAAGCGCGGAAGCCAGAACAAAAAATAGTAATGGTGATTTCGAGGATTGAAATGTGCATAAAACTATTGAAGCTTGTCATAGAGTTCGTCGTTGTCTTCATCGAGGCTGTTGGAACGGTTATTAGACAAAGCACGATGGAGTTTCCGACAAATCCTAGGTACATAGTACCCGCTCCATACATTGGTCTTCTTCCTTAATTTGTTGTAATTTGTATCGGGTGCTTCATATTTATAAGGAATTCATTTTGTTCGATGCAACCATTTTGACCCCTCGTGTCGATCCCACGAGTCAATTTTATCATCATGTCGTATAAGAAAGCACATTGTACAGTCTGCCTTAGGGTTTTTATTTTTATTTTTTTATTTTATTTTATTTTTAAATTCAAGAATCAATTTGGGATGATATATCCCCATTTCTGTATGTGAATGTTAATTTCGTAATTGCCGATTATTTATAACTGATTTTCTCACATTTTAGTAAGTGTTATTTCTTTTTTCATTTATTCACAACCGGATTTCTACTCCGTCAAAATTATAATATAAAACATAAAAGTAGATAAAATTATCTATTTCCGACTTGATAACAAGAGAGCTCGCGAGTATTAGAACTTTATGTTGTGTCTTTGCATCAAGATTTTGAAGAACTATACGAGAAAGCAATTTTAGCCAAATACACAGCAAGACTAAGCTCCTATTTGTTTTTGTTGAAAATTTAGATTCTTAATAAATTTTGATAAAATCTGTGATTGAAAAATTGATAAAAATTGAGAATCGCATAAATTTGTGGTTGAAAATCAATACTTGAAAATGAATTTTTAAAAATGGAGGCCGAAAATGAGCTAAATAAATGTTCATTTTTACGAATATCGACTAATAAAATGGTACGAATTTGCACAGTAAAGAAAATCGGAATAGGTGATGCAAAGTTTGAGAAAGTCATGTGACTTTTGGTTTTATGCCTCGTCACATAAGTTGTATTTGTTTTATTTTCACTGATAACAAATACTTGGGGTGGTCTCATCAATTATATATTTAAAAATATTTAAAAAAAAAATGTATCTGTAAGCTCAACCTTTTCAGAACAAGTCAAGCAAGTAACATGAAATGTGTCTAATTTATATATCATGTTCACTTCGTGTATATTTGCGGGAATTCCAATTTATGATCGAAAGATAGCAAAACCATTGGTTAGAGGAGGCGACGCCAAGTCTATACGGAATTGCAAGTTTGAAACACATAATGAAGTTGAATGATAATTTTGGAACAAATTAAAGTTTGGTGGTCAAATCGAAAGATGCTAGTAAGTTTTGTGAAAGAATTATAATACCAAATGGGAAATCTGATTAAATGAAAGAATTTTCAACCGGCCAATGGATGATCATCAGGTGGTTCTATCAGACTGGTTGATTGGTTTGAGGATTTTGAATTTCACCCCTCATTGAAATGAGACTAAAACTTAGGTCATTGGCTTGTTAAGGTTTTATTTCTCTCACTTGAGCTAAAATTGATCTCATCAATTGAATCAGTTGTGTAGCTATATTAGACCAATGAATCGACTTACTGTCGCATAGCTTATAACACGTAATTTATTACATTTATATGATAGATTTACAGAATAATTTCGTTAGAGAATTACACCATTTGTCTCAAAAAAATAACAAGCAGCACACTCAATGCACATGAAACACAATTTCAACTAATTGCACTCCTTCGCTCATCTTTGGCCTCTAATTAAAAAAAAAAAAAAAAACACCTTTTTTCAATCACATATTCTCTCATAATTAAAATAACTTAGCACGTAAATTGATTTTTATTTTTATTTTTAACCACACTTTATCCAAAAACTCACAATTCTAAAATACATTTCCTTTTAAAAATAGGAGCTCAAAGAGGGGGCTTAACTTATAAAGTCACACAATATATTCAATAAATTGAAAAGTAAATGTTGGATTATAAATGAAGGTCCAAAGTTTCGAGTTTGGCCTCGCTGTCCCTTGCCCCGTCGAAAAATATCCATGATTACTTATTTATTTATTTTTAACATTTCACTTTTGATTTTTATGTGTGTTTTAAGTTTAAAAAATAATAAATAAAAAATTTGTAGTCAGGGCAAGCCCATATTCCACGTCCCCATATTCCATCGGGTGGGATGGGCCAAAATATTCTCATCTTTTTGTCACATATGTATCTTGAGGAACAGGGATGGGCTAAAATATTTTGCAAATCAATATATCTATCCAATATTTTTTTTGGGGAAATTACACAAAATCAGACTTTTCAAGATTCTGGCCCTGTTTGTGGCCCTTTAATTTAAAAATTGGAGTATGGAATAGTGATTGATGTTGAAATATGTGTTTAAAAAAGAAGGAATTTTTTTTGATATATGTGTGATATTATTTTAATGGAGAATGTGTGGTTGAAAATGAGTATTATAGAAAAAATAATGTAGTAGAATGATTGACAAACAAGAGCTCAATTTCAAAAAATCAGATTTTGCCCTTGTTTGAGCCCCATTTTAGGGGATAAAATGAATTTTTGAATAGTGTATTGATATGAAATGTGTGGTTAAAAAATAAGGAACAGTTTTATATTTGTGTGTAATATTATTTTATTAAAAAATATGTTATTGAAATGATGTCAAAATACTGTTGAAAAATGTATTTTTACCAAAGAATAGGAATCAAACAAGGGCTTAAAGTTTGTTTTTACAATAATCAAATAATAGTTCTGTGTTTTAATTTAATTATAATATTATAAAATTAAATTAATCTATACCAAAATTTTCAAATCCTAATCACTTTTTACTTTTCACTCTCTCTCTCTCCTCGTTATCCCACTATTTTATCTTCTTTCTACCATCCCATCACGGGAGCACCATTAACATTAGGCTCACGACGCCTTTGGCCGGTCAACATCGTCGATTTACAGTCACTGAAGGGGAAAAGACTCGACACGTAGCAATATTGCCTCTCACGGTGCTGTCGCTGTTCGCACCTCACCTCTATTCGCAAGAGGCGGCGCTGTCATTGTTCGAGGCACATTTCATCGATGTTTGTAGTTAAAGCAGCGTCGAGCACCAGGAAATAGGAAGACACAACCATCAGCGTTTGGTTGAGAAGCGGCCAGAGATGGCTGGAGTAGAGGTTTTGGATCTGACCGTAGCACGATCAGACACAACCAACGGCCTAGTGGTTCCAGTGATGGCGTTTGTGGATCTGATTTGATGTTTTTTTTTTTTGGGCAGTAGTTTTCTTGAATCTTGTTGATGGCAATGGTGGTGATGGTTGATGGTTGTGGTGGCAGCGATGATTTTGTTGGTGGTTGGGCAATGGTTTTGTTGATTTTTGGGCAGCAATTTTGTTAGTGTTTGGGTAGCGATTATTGTGCCTACAATTTGGTGTTTGGGCGGCGATTTTGTTAGTGTTTAGGTAGTGATTGTTGTGCCTACAATATGGTGTTTGAGCGGTGGTGCTGGAACTTCTTGTTGGAGGTGATTTTGTTGGTGGTTGGACGATGGTTTTGTTGAATTTTGGTTGATGATTCTGTTAGTGTTTGTGCGATGATTGTTGTGCCTACGATCTGGTGTTTGAGCGGCGGCATTGGAACTTCTTGGTGGCGATGGTAACTGTTGGAGGCAATGATGAAGTAGTGGTCACAAATTAATTAACCATTAAATTGATTAATTTGTGATCAATAAATAATATATGACCAATGAAAAAGATAAATTGTGACCGATAAATAATGTATGACCTAAAAATTGTTAATTGTGACTATTTAATAAGTTGCGACTTATAATATTTGTAATTTGTGATCGATTAATAAATATGACGGATAAATTTTTGATTTGTGATCGATGAATAAATTATGATCTATAAAATTTTTGAATTGTAACCATAAAAATTTGTGACGTAAAATTTTTAATTTGTGATTGAAAAATAATATGTGATTAGTCAAACATTAATATGTAATGAGGTCACAGATTCAATAAAATTGGTCACAGATTATAATGTGCATATGTCACAGATCTAATGGAATTAGTCACAGGTCATTGCCAAAAATGAAGAGAAAAGAAAAAAGGTAGTTTTGTCAGAAAAGTGAAGAGTCATCG